GCTAGTAAATCTTTGATCTTAATCAGAAATAGTTGTTTTGGATAGATCATGTAATTTAAAAATATTATCAAAAATAATTTGGCAACTCCTGGAGTAATAATATTGATTGTGCATAGTATAAAATGACTTCGTTTAGAAAGATGATCCATAAAAACAGTAATAGCATCATAGCCTTGTGAGGTTTTGGATAATTGGACTATGAAATCCATTGTTATCTGTTCCCATCATTTAGCAGGTGTGAATAATGTTTGTAGTAATCTACTTGGTTGTTGGTTTGAGCTTTTATTTCATTGGCATAAATCACAAGTATTAATATACCTTTTTACATCTTTTGAAATTTGTAACCAATAATAATTTCTTGAAATTTTTTCATATGTTTTATCACATCCCAAGTGATCTGAAATAGGGTTGAGATGGTTTTCTTGCAAAATTTTTATAATGAGTTCCTTACTCCTAAGAATAACTAATTTGTTATCCTCTTTAAGGTAGATGTGCTGATTTTGTAAATAATAATTTTTAACTTGAGCTTTTTCATGTGAATTGGCTTAATTAAAGTTTTTAAGAGTTTTTAAAATAAAATTCTAATGGTTATCAGCTTGATATAATTGATATAAATTATCAGAATTAATAAGGTTTATAGTAATAGTAGATATTGTTACAAGTTAAAGTTTTCAAGATAAAACATCAGCTACAACATTGTTTTTTTCTGGTTAATATCATACTGTAGAATATTAATTTAATTTATTTTTATTATATTATTTCTTAATGTATAATTATTTATTCGTAATTTATATAAATCAAAGATCATGTAACAAGTAGCTCACTAGATTAACTACTAGGCAAATCACCTTGGCAAATTACCTGTTACACATAAAAGATGGATTACCAGGTTAATTACCTCTTGCTAAAATTGATAAATCATTAATTTGGTAGATCATTGCGCACAGCAAATTAAAGGAATATAAATATAAGTCTTCCTTGACTTAGAAAGAGAGGAGTTCAGAAGTTTTATAGTTTTTAACAGTTTAAGAGATTAGAACAGAGTTGTTTCTTTTAGTTAATATGCAATTTACTCCTTTAATATTTACCTTTACTTTTATAATTTCTATTTTTATATTATTTTTATCTTTATATTTATTATTATATTTATTAATAAAGTTATATCATATTAAATATCCCCATTAAATCTTTAATTTATTAATTTGTCATGTAATTCTTAATAAAACTTGAGTTAATCTTGTATAAATACTCTTTAGTATATACATCTTATTAAGCAGACAAGCTAATTTGATGTGTTAAAACCCTGCATAATAAAGAACTCATCTTGTAATATTCATTTGAATTCACTATTAAATAATTGAATTGAGTTGATCTTAGTGATCCTCAAGAAATTCTAAGAATTATTTAAGTAGTTTAAGTTAGTTTAGTTAAAGAATATTAGTTATTCTTTAGACCCTTGTCTATATATTGGTGTGACAATGCAACACTAGTAATTATTAGTAATTACAATAAATCTTAAGATCTATACAAACTATTTCTATTAATTAATTTACTTTTAATTCTATTTTCAAGAAACTTTGAATATATAAAATTTTTATATACATATTTTAAATATTTTAAAAATAATTTTTTTGATATTTTGAAATAAAAAATATTTTTTTACTATAATTTAATATTTTATTTTTGGTTTAATTTTTTTAATTATAACTTTACTAATAAATTTTATTAATTAATTCAATATAAGAAAAAAAGAAAATATATATATATTAAATTGTAGTAATGGTAATAATATATAATAATAAAAATAATAATATATATTTAAAATAATAAAAATAATACTTCATTTATATTTTAAGATATAATTTAATTTTATTGATTAAAAACTAATTTATGATTTATATGACTTAATAATGTGATTATAAATTTGAAAATTCATTAATTAACCAAATTATGTAATTACTAAGATCTGTGTTTTTGAAAAAATAATTTATTTTGATAGGCTAATTTACTAATTAGACTATACTTGTATGCAAAATTATTTTGAAGTTCCAAAATTACAATTTTGAAGAAAAAAGTTGAAATAGTTTTTCATAGAAAACAAAATTATTTTACTTAAAACTTAAAATTTTTTAACTATTCAGATAAATTTCTTAATTAAAGATATACTTAACTAGATATTTTTTTTACTTCTATATATAAAATAGATTCTGAATAAATTTCAAAAAAATGAAATATTTCAAAAATCAAAAATTAATTTTGGAAATATGTATAGTTGTGAAGTTTCATCTGTTCAAGATTTGTTATTAATTTAATATTTTTTTTTTTTATTTTTTTTTTATTTTTCTTATCATATAATAAATTAATTAATTTATATTTATAGAATAGTTTTTAAAAATGTATAAAGAGCTTTAATTTTCCTTTTCATATAATTAATTAGAATTTAATTATCTAATAAATAGAAATAATTAGATAGTCTTAAGCAAAATCAATAATAAATTAAGATAGATTTATTTATTTTTTTTTATTTTTTCTTGTAATTTCTTTATTTTTTTTTAATAAAAAAACTTTATTTTTTATATAATAAATATATTTTTCTTTCTTATTTTCTTTGTTTTATTTCTTGCTTTTATATTTAACTTGTAAATTGTACAGTCTTGAATTCTAAACTCTAAAATAAATTATTGATCTTTACTTCTTGCTTATTTGATCATATGACTTAACTGGAACCACATTTTTTTTACTTGTTTATATATTTATTTTCTATCTAAATCCCTAGTGAAATTATTTTATTTTGATCCTAACATCTTTTTATCTTGTAATCTGCTATTATCTTTTTTCAATTATTATCCCATCATTTATTCTTTCTTCATATTTGCTCATTTTTATCTTTAATTATTCTAAATTCAAATTTCTTTGCTTTCTTTATTCCTATAGAATACATTAGTCCTTTTTATTAATATTTATACATTCCATATTTCCAAAATTCCTGATAACTACTAGGTTAAATTTAAGCACTTCCCTTGTACTTGCCTCCACTCTTTCAACAGGTAGTATCACTAGTTGAAATTTATAAATAGTACACTACACCTATTGGGTATATAATAGATATTCTATTTATAAATTCCAACTAGTATAGATAATAATGATCAGGAAATTTTTGGAAGCAGATATATTTGTTCACTCATGCATTTATCTATATTAATCCACATTTATTCACATTAATTAATACGTTACACCAAATATATTCATGTATATTTGTGCATATATTCAGTTATTAATTGCTGCATATATTTGCAAGTGAAATTTTCCTAATGCAATTGAAAGAAAATTAATGTTAAAAAATAACAGTGTAATAATAATGGAAGATTTTTTAAAAAAATATGCAATTATGATGAATTTGATAATAATAAAGAATGAGAAAATAATGATGGGATAAAGAATCTGATTAAAAAAAAATTCAATGTTTGAATAGATAAAGGAATTAAAATGGAGAAATAATGCTTATTTAAAAATGGAATTACTGGTAGACTTGCTAAATAGATGAATTAAATAAATTAAATTATAAAATAACAATAATGAAATTTTTTTTTTTTTTTTTCATTAAAATTTCGGAAATTGTCACCTAAAATCTGTCACGCGTGGAATCCTTCACCTGGATCAATAAAATTTGATAAGAATCTATACCCCTTAAGTATATACTGGGGGATAAGTGTCCTTAATTTTAAATAAAGAAATCTTACATAATTTTTACTTGAAATCATAGTTTAAACTATATGTAAAATCTGTGCAGATTCCTTTTTTTATGTGCGGAGTTTTCAAATTTTGTGCTAGTGCACATTCCGTACATTGAATTTCAAACACTGATTATGATAACTACTGATTATGATAACTGACTGATATACGTCAAAGACAAATTTGTCATCACAATGCTAAACTTGTTGAAACATGGTCTCGCAAAAATGATGAGGATAAATAATAATAATAATAAAATAACGATAGTTTTTTATTAGTAAGTAAAGTGTGTGGAATGTGTAATGATCCAAGATGTAACAGTGTTTTAATTAGTCAAATAGTTGTTTAAATATAAGATATTTTCTTTAAATATGTGAATAATCGTATGGTCGAACATAATGATAAAACAAAAACATCCGTTAGTTTTGATGTTTTGACCATAATAGTTATGTGAAACATCCAGTAAATTTTATATTTTATATTTTCTCATTCTTTTTGATCCCATTTTTATAACTTTTATTAATCACGTTGAATTTTAATAACAGTTATCAGTTATAAAGCAGTAATTATATTTATTATATTTCATATTATTATTGTTACAGTTCCGGCAGAAAAAACTGACACTTTTTTTTCCGAGATTTCGTTTGCTGCGCATTTTTTTTGTTATGATTATAACACGTGATATTGCTAATAAAATCCAAGCACTCATATAGAAGGTATTTTTAGACGATTCACTGTACCCACTAATAATACACTTAGATGTCCCAATCCCGGAGATACTATAAAGGAATTTCCATCTACACATGATTTTTGCATTATATCTTGACCCGACTTGCTTTTATAGAGCAAAAGTTAGATTTTCACCAAGTGAAACAAATTTTAAATTACCAGGTTATCAACTTGTTTTTGTAATGTTATTTAATATGTTGAGGCACAGTGTGTAATAGATTTTCCACAAATGTGAAATGAAATTTCTATTCACCATTATGACATATATATAAATTACATAATTTGATAATTTATTTATTATTTATCTTTGTATTTTTAAGAGTTCAAGTTATATAATTATTAATAATATTATTTATCACCATTCTATTCAATAACAATTAATATTATTTATCACCATTTAATATCAGTTTTTAAAGTCTGCTAAGTTGTAAGGCATAATCAATATCCTTTGTGTACCTGTACCAAAAGAGAAATAAAAATAAATACTGAAATCATCATAAAGTGTTGTTCACTCTTTTTAAAAGTAAATCAACTTCATCTCATTTGCTAACTTCTTCATAATCATTTCCCATTTCACAAGCATTTCTGAAATGTCTTTCTAGCATTTCATTATATCTTTTAGGTTGTTCACTACACAATGCATGCCCACTACCTATATTTTGAATAATGTTGATAGACATTGATAATATTATTTATATTGAAATATTGATAATATGTAATTATTTTTAGATGTTAATTTTATTTTTTACATACCTTCCCAGCATTCCACATCAACACCCAAATGTTTGGCTAAATAAAAACTATTTTCAGGTTTCGTAAGGTTATCATTTGTACCTGTTACCACCAAGATCTATAAATATTATAAATGTAAATAATAATAGTATTTATAAACTTTATATTTTAATTATAATTGGAAGATAATTTTAATAAAAATATTATTTGTAGGAAATATTTACATGTGAAATGGTATTTTTGATTTGTTCAAGTTTACTGGCAGAAACGTGATGACGGGAAAGTGCAGATATATGTCCAATCACGCCTATACATATATATTTTTCAAAAAAAAAAGAAGTTGTTGTAGTGAAATATTTAAAGAAATATTTATTGTGGAAGATTATAATTGAAAGCTAATTACCTTTCATTGGTTGCTTACGAGTTTTTTCGATTCGGTCAAGGAAAACCTAATGAAACATAAATAAATATAACAAATAAAAATAGATGTCAATAGATATTAATAAATATATTTTTTTTTTTGAATTTTTTAAATTACCTCAGTGAAAATATCTTCATAAGTCTTATGAGGTGAACCTTCAGGAGCAGGAGTTTCTAAAAGTTCCTACAAGATTTTTAACACTTTTAACATTGATAATTTTTCTTTAATATATTATTATTATTATTTACCTGAGGATAAATTAATTTTAGAGTAATCTTAATTCTCTTTTTAGGATCTCTCTCAAAAAACATTTTATTTAAAGATTTAAGGCCAGACATCTAAAATAAATGTAAAATATAAAATATAAAATATAAATATTAAAAATATAACTTACGGGCGGCATCAAACTTCCACCAGCAGAAGAAGAAGTTAAACATAAAGATTTTATATATTGAGGTTTAGCTAAAGCTAATTCTTGAGCAATCATTCCACCCATTGAAACACCAATTACATGGATATTTTCTGTCCAACCTAAATGTTCTAATAATTCAACTACATCTTGGGCCATTTGACTTGTACTTTAATATTATTATTAAAGTTCAAAATTTTTAAAAGTTAATTTTCATTACTCTCATTACTCTATATTAAATCTAATTAATATTTTAATATATTATGTTTACCGATATAATCCAGAGGTGCATCTTTAAAAATTCATTCACTTTACATTATTACTTTTAATTATTTAATTTTAATTATTTAAAAAAAAAAAGAATTTTATTTACCTGACCATCCAACACCACGATTATCAAAAACGCAAACTTGATAATCAGGGTGGTTACCAAAATATTTTACCTGTGCTTCCCAACCTAACGAAGTATGGAATATTCCTTTTAAATAAAAAAAATAAAATAATATAAAAATTAGCGTGTAAAAGTATCGTTATCGATTACCATTCAATAAAAAAAAAATTAGAATACCCACCCATAATAAATAACAATTTATTAGTTTTTTTTCCTCCCTTTCCATGTATTTCATAATAAATTTTAAAATTCGGATTTTTAATTGTAACATAATCTTTTTTCGTTAAAGTTGTTTCCATTTTTTTTTTTTTAATTTATTTTCATGAAAGTTACTTAATTTTACTTCACATGAATTAATACAAATCAATAATAACTAATATGTAATAATGATGCAATAAATTTTTCAAAAATAAATATAAAAAAAACCTCACCAATTTTTCGCTAAAAAAAATAAATATGCAAACGCCTAAGGCGAATTGTCGTCACGTTAATGATAAACATGGTCTCGCGAAAAAGTTGAAGGTAAATAATAATAATAATAATAATAATAATAATAATAATAATAACAATAATAATAAAATAACACGATAATTTCATGATGATTATTTATTTATTAGTAAATAAAACGTGTGAAATATCCAAGAAAACGGTGTTTTTTGTTCTAGGTGAAAGTTTTTAAAAATATTGTTGATAATTGTTAATCTATCAAATAATTGTTTTAAATATAAGATATTTTCTTTAGATATGTGAATAATCATGGTCGAACATAACGATAAGACAAAACATCCGTTAGTTGTGTCTTTTAGTGATTTATCATTTTGGTGACACATCAAGTAAAATTTCATCACTCACATAACATTATCATTATTTATTGATCACACATATAATAACGCATTATTAATTATAAAAGGTTCTTAATCCCATCGAAAATTCTGTTTGCATGTCCAAGTTTGGAACGATTCCTCCTCAGAATTCTCGGGATGTTATTCTCGGGATGTTTAATCAAAGTGACATTATTGAAGGTCAAGTAAAAAATCTCCGAGATAATAATTGAAATAAGATAGGTAATAATGAGATGGATAACAATGAGATATGTAACAATGAGATAATAACAATAATTATTATTATTAATTTATTATTATAGAGATAATTATGGTAATAATAGCAAGCAATTCTGAGATAATTATAAAACGTAATAAATAAATAGTAATAATAATTAAATATTAGTAGTTGTTGTTGTTTATAATTTTTCTTTGTATTTCTTTGTTTTTTTTTTTTTTGTATTTTTTTTCTTGGGAAAAAATAAATATAATGCGGTGATCATTATAAGTAATTATAGAATTATAGCTGCAAGTTGAAACATTATAAGCATTTATAGGTAATTTAGGTTTATCGTTATAAGTATTGTTTTGAATCTTATGTCCATTTTTGTCATTATTATTATAATAAATTATAATAACAATAATTTACAAATCGAGATATAACAAGTATTATTTATTATTATTATTTATCTGTTAGCGTTATTATTTACCTGTTAGCATTTTGTTGTGTTGTTTATGATGACAAAAAATAACTTTATGCGCTTTCTCTCTAAACATAAACTAAATTATAACGTAAAATTAAATATAAAAATAAATATTAACTAGATTTTGGAGAATTGTAATATACTCCATAGAATTATCTAGAATAATCTCTTACGTGTGTTGGATACAAAGAAATAGAGATATATTTCAAAAAATTTTTTGGTTGTTCTTGTGTGATGATTGGATGTAAATGATTCTAGAAAATAAAATAAGAATATATTAAGAAAAATGTGGCTAGTGACTTTGCAGAAAAATTTTTTTCACAGGTGTTACCGGTTTTTTTCTTGTAATCAAAAAAAAAAAAAATTTTTTTTTTTTTTACACAACAATAAGGCGCGTTGGCAGAATGCACAAAGTCAGCTGGCCAAGAAATTTTAAATTTTATTATTATTCATTATTGATACAAAAATAATTATTCTTTCTTATTATTATACAAAGTAATTACTCAGAGTCATTAATCAAAGCGATTATTCATTTTAATATACTAAAAAAGTTGTCGTGAAACCAATAAAAAAAAAGGTAGAAAAGTAAAGATTCAAAAAGAACATGGAGTTTTGGAAAGAGAATTGTACACAATTGTACTCATTTTTTTTAATATTTATTTATTTATTTTATTATTATTTTTTTTTTAATTCTAATTTATTGAAATTCCTTTTATGTATTTTATGTATTTTATGTATTTTATGTATTTTATTATGTATTTTATGTAAATTCTGTGGTTGTTGCATATAAAGGCTTAAATGTTTCTTTGTTCTAAATTTTAAAAAATCGTTAACTTAACTAACTGTATCATCTTTAATTGTGTCATCTTAATTGTGTAATCTTAATTGTGTCATCTTATTATGTCGTCTTTAACTTGACTGTATCATCTTGAATGTACCATCTAATTGTATCATTTTGTCATCTTGTAAAAAATGGTTTTTTTTGACGCGCCATTTTACTTTATCTGATTATTTATTCCACTATTTATTCACTATTTATACATTATTTTTGACTTATCATTTTTTCATTATTTTTGCTTGATTTATATTCATTATCAAAATATTTGTTGCTAAAAATGAGAATAATTAAATTTGAGTTCATTGTTATTATTATTGACGCGTTCATCGGTATGTACCGGCTATTACCTAATAACCCGCCCGTTCTTTAAAAAGAATTTTTTCGTTTTCTTCGCGTCATTTGTAGTAAATAAATGAGGTATATCCTTTATTTTGATTGTTGTTATCATTATTATTTTTTGTAAACAAATCTGTTTGACAACTTTTTTTAATTTTTCTTTGCATAAAAAATAAATAAATAAATAAATAAATATGTCGCCCCAAAATTAATGCAATCTTCGTTTCAATTGGCGTTTTTTGGTTAAATGTATTCAATAATCTATAATGTATGCAACATATCTACAATATGTTCTATATTATGCAAATATTACGCGTTCATTCAATCCTTTAAGCATATATTTTAACAATCTTTAAACAATATATAAACCTTATATAGCGTACACACATAAATATTGTATAAGCATATACGCACATACTTGTTTGTATATTTTATATACGAATTTGTAAATTTGCGAACGTATTGTAAAAGCAATAAATTCGCGGCATTATTATAACTTTTTTATAAATATATTGAAATCCGAATATATTGTTTTTGTTGTCTTTTTTGTCGACTTATCTTGCTTTTCTTTTTTTTTTTTTTGATATCTTTTTTTTTATGTTATATCATTTTATTTTTTTTAGATTCTATTTTTTTTGGTAACAATTCTTTTCCCGGTTTATTTGATTTTTTTTTTTTTTACTATTTTGTCATTGCTTTCTAGAATTACCATAAATTTTATTACAAATTTTATGTCGCATCATCAAATGTTGATTTCTTAAAAAATATTGTGCATATACTCCGCATCACGTGATTGAAATAGTATTTTTTTTCTAATGTAAGTCATTAGTTCAAATGCAAAACTTTATTTTTAATTGATATGATGATGAAATAATTATAAAAAAATATAATGAACTAAAAAATCAACAATTAATAACCGATTTGGCGAGTTTTGGGGCCAGGAGTAGAAGCAGGGTTCTCTTTTGGACTTGGGATTTGCCAGCTTTGCAGATCAGCATCGATTTTAATAATAAAATAAATAAATTATATATGAATCTAATGATATAAATCAATAAGGATTTATAATAATGATGTAATATTGGAATCTCCTAATACATTAAACATATTACACATCAAATACATTACAGTATATACAAAGAAAATGGATCACAAAAAAAAATTCTTTTTTAAATGATAATGTAATTAACTATGTATTAATTATGGTACTAACCATGTAATTATAATTAATTTGTTTATCTAATTATATATTTTTTTTTGTAAAATAGAATAGATCATATACTTACTAACATATACATATTGTATTAATCATCATTCATTTTTAATTAATTTATTTAGATTTTCTATGAATAAATAAAATATATCAATGGAATATCTATAAAGAACATAATGAACATGATGCATGTAACATTACTGCGCCACCTTATATATATATATATACATATTAATGTTTTTCCTTAATATACTCCTTAAATTATTTGATTTTCTTTGAATTTACCATAAATATATTAAATGAGTGAATATATATTATCAATATATTGTAGATTATGTATTAATTTATTTCATTTTATTTAATGTATATATCCATATGTGAAAATAAGTATAAATGATTTTCATATATACATATCACATACATATAATATACTTGGTTTAGTTTTAATAAAATACAAATTTGTTTAAATTTAAATTTATTTTTTTTTTCACTCACATGAATTAAAACATGATCACATGTATTCACATTAATTGTATATTTTATATATCTGATATCTATTATTTATGAAAAAAGAAAAATGTATAAATGTACTTGTGATAAAGTAGAAAGAATGAACCAAGCGAATCAAATTTATATATTTTTGAAAGTACAAATGTTATATAATGTTACAAGTCAAATGATAAAAAGTCAATAAATAATTTATTCAAAGTTTATTACTATATCTGATATTATTATCACTGTATTTATTATTATTATTTATAATTTTTAGTATGATTAAGTTTGTTAATTTTTTTTTGTTTTGCTATTTAGTATTATATTTAAAATATATATTTAGTAATAAATTTTATTAGTTTTATTTTACATTTTACAGATCTCTTTTTTTTTTTAAAAAAAAAAAAATACGATCGATTAGATCAATTAGATCAATTAGATAATTATAAGAAGTCAATGATAAATTCATCAATTATAGATTTATTAGATTCATTAATAGATTATTAGTAAATAACGTAACCAAATTTATATATTTTGATGTATTCTGCAGAAATTGGTTTTATCATCTTCCAATTTGGTTGCTTATTGGTTAAAATTATAATGTAAATAACATCTTACCTTGACACGTCTTATTAAGAATATAAACTATTTTTTTATTTTTTTTTAAACGCGAAATTATTATAATAAATTCTTATATTAAAATAAATTAATAAATAATAATAATTAGGATTTTATAAAATTTAAATCGTTAAAATGAACCATTAAATAAAGCGTTAAATAAAATTTTTTAAATAAATTATTAAAATTATTAAATAAATTTTTAATGAATCGTTAAATAAATCGTTAAATAAATTGTTAAATAAATCATTAATCTAAAATGTATAATCTATCTTTGGGGGAGATTTATATTACCAGGGAATAATTCAATTATTTGTAATACAATTTCCTTAAAATTTTCTTAACTATTTATATTAATTATTTATTAAGTTAATATTCGGATAATTTATAATTATATATATATATAATTTATATATTAAATATATTAAATAGTTGCATCATTTATTTATTACACAAAAAACCCACTCACAATGTTTTGTTTCTTCATATCTTCCCCGCAAATAAACAATTAATTTCCCCGCAAAAAAAAAAGAACAATTGATTCAATTGATTCATTTTTGATCATGCAAATCATAAGTATTATTATTATTATTATAATTAATTACGTACAAGTATGTGAGTTAATGTGTGTCATTTTTTCGAGATCTTTGAAATCTGAGATCTCTTGCGTTTTTTTTTGTTTCATCTACGCATTAATATTATGTATGTTATGTACATTATGTATTATGTGTACCTATGTATAATGTGTTTAAAAATATGTTTAATTAAAAAATGGTTTGCACTTATTTTTTTCATTTATGTGGAAGAACACAAACACGTATAAAAAAAAAATTGTTCGCGCTAATTTAGTTAACAAACTGTTAACAATGGATTTTCGCAAATCTTATTGTCTCATGTGGGGGAATTTGCGGGGTTCCTAATAGTAAAAAAGAATTATCATAATAAATTGACTAATAAGGAATAGTAATGGGACGCGTTAATTATGCTTAATTTTATTAGTCAATGCCTTTAATATAACTTCATATATTATTATATAATCGTTTACATTTTAAATATAATTTTTATTTCGGCATTTTCCATCGTTTTAATTACAAAATCTATACAATGTAAAATATTGTATTATTATTATTGAATAAAAATTTTGATAATGATGTTCATTCCGTATAAAGTATTAATTTCGAAATTCAAATTTTAAAAACATATTTACAGTTTTGCTCCAAACGTTAGATTATTTAATAATATCAAATATTATTCATATTATTTGTCATCATTTGTCATATTATTATTTTTCTTTTTTGAAAAGATATTAAAAACATTCATTGTTTGTATTTGTATTTAAATTATTTTTTTATTTAAAAGGCAAAGTGCATGCATACACGTGAATGACACGCATGATAAGGTGTGTCAACACGTGAGATAAAATACTGTTTTTGTTTAAAAGTATGACCAAAAAGTTAGACGATATGTATAAATCTGTTAGTGCATAATTACTTTATAGTTTAATTTATCCCTGGGAAACTTTGATGTTTCATTCCCACGCAAGCAATAGGTAGAGATAAGTAAAGCAAGCAAAAATGACAGTTCTCTTCTTACACGTATACATGTACATACATACATTCATATTTTTTCATTTTTTATTTTAGAAAAATTTCTAAAGTTCTCTGTATTATCAATATAGAATGTTTTTTATTTTTATTTTTATCAACATGTAAAAATTTACGAATTTATATGAATTCATTAAAAAATTTAAACTTTTAAACTTTTAATTTTTCACGCGCAATAAAACTTTATTTAATTATTATTATTATTATTATTATTATTTTTTTGAGATAATAGGCAATATCATTTCGGGGAGTATTAACAGAAGAAAAGAAAAAGAAAAGATAAAATATGTATAAAGATTTAATCTAAAAATTTACTCCATATATAACAAATAATTATCCATTTAGTCAAATTAACCAGATGATAATTATATTTTGACCCGTCAAGAAATATAAACACTCTCAAAAAATAATTAAAAAAAAAATTTTGAATAATATAGCGACAAGATAATAAAATTGCAGAAAGGGATTATACAATATAAAGATAAATAATATTTTAATGATATTATTTTGAAAAAAAGACATTCATCGAGATTGTACATTTTTAAAGAGCAAATAAAGGGATCATATTTAATAAAGATCCTTGAATGCTTTTTTATTAATAAAACAAATAGGCAAAAAAAGTCTTGCCGCTTCTATTATTTTTTTTATTGCCTTATTAATATAAACAAGTTTCCCAAAATTAAAAGAAAATAAAAAATAACCATAATAGCATATATACCGGTATTATATATATACATATAAAAATATTATATTTCTAAAATTTGATAATTAGACTTAAAGCCATAAAGAAATTAATAAAATTATTAATTACATCTTATATACAAGGTTGGTGAGGAAAATAATTTATTAACCTCACCGCTTAAAAAGAAAAGGAAAATGAAAGAAAAAAAAAAAAAAAAAAAAGACATATTGTATTTCACACAATGAAAAAAGAACTAAAGAAAAAAAAAAGAAGTGATCAAATAATAATAATTATAATTTGCGACAAATTATGGAGGCACAAATTATAAAAAAAAATATTGATGTTTGTGAGAAATACTAATATCAAATAATATTGATTACATGCGAATTAAGGTGCATGTTTATCGATTTTTTTTTAAATTTTTTTGACGCGACAGATGCGTAAAAAAAAAACTTATAAATTGCATATTGGAGAGGAGGTATAATTCATATTTAACCACACAGGTAGAGCTCTAAAAGGTGTGTGTTAATTAGCATGCTAATATGTAGAAGGGAAGTTATTAAAGAAATTTTACAAAGTTAAAATAGAAAAAAAATAATATGTAAAAGGAAATTATAATACAAAAAAATGTTCATTATATATATATTTTCATTTTGAGTCGTCAAACCGACAAATGTTCATTTTGTGAGTTTTTTTTTTTTTAAAAAAAAAAGAATCTAATATCCCAATGCGTCTTCCAAACTCAAACACTTCCAATTTCCTGAATTGGTTGAAGTACCGAGTGAAGCTTCTCCGGAACATGATTGGTAGCCATATTGATTATTTTCTCCAGAATATGTGAACCCACCAAAAGCATCCATTTCACTAGTTGCTGATGCATTGGTGCCATAAGCTTTTGATACTGTGGGCCAATCAATACTGGTTTCCTCTTCGGTGAAAGCTGGGTCAAAGCAAGATGTATCATCTTCTGAAGAGACATTTGGTTTAAATGGTGGAGAAACTCGTTTACGATATAAAGCGTCCCAATCTACATTTGCAAAGAATGGATGATTTTTAATTTCTTCAGCATCATTGCGAGAACCTAATCTGTTTTCGGAGTTTCGTTGCAAAAGCCCTTTAATCAAGCTTTTAGCGTCATCACTAAAGAACCCTTTAGGGAATTTGAGTTTTCCAAATAAGATGCGACGATACATAAGTTGAGTATCATTGGTGTAAAATGGACTGAATCCAGCAATCATCTCATAGAACAAAATTCCAAGACTCCACCAGTCGACAGATTTTCCATAGCCACATTCAACTAATACTTCGGGTGCAAGGTATTCTGAAGTTCCGCAAAATGTGTTTGTTGTTTGACCATCCGCAAGTGATTCTTTACATAATCCAAAATCGCAGAGCGCAATATGCCCGTTAGCATCAAGCAATATATTTTCTGGTTTTAGGTCTCTATAATAAATAGTAATAAACAATAATTTAAATGTTTGGTTCTTTTATGTATCACGTGAAAATAAAATGCGTTTTTAAAATGAACATTTACCTATAGACGATTCCGTTACGATGGAGGTGTTCTAATGCGAGAACGATTTCTGCCGCATAGAACTTAGCTCTATCTTCGCTAAGTCTTACTTCATTTTGCAAATGCCAAAATAATTCGCCACCATTCATGAAATCGGTGACCAAATAAAGATGAGATTTTGTTTGAAACGAAAACTTGAGACCTACTAAGAATGGACATTGGCCAGCTTGGATAAGAATATTTTTTTCCGATAAAGTATGTTCAACTTCACGACGTTCAATTAAATCTTGCTTTTGAAGGACCTTCATGGCATAAATACGATTTGTATCTTTCTTGCGAACTTGAAAGACCTTTCCAAAGTTACCCTTTCCGATCAATTTTAGAACATCGAATGATGAAGGCTTAAGATGAGATTTCTAAATATACAAAAAATGATACAAAAATGTTAGTTATATATGTCTAGATTTATATATAAATGTAATATAAATGTTATAACAATTACCCCGACTTCAATTTTCTCGTATGAGAGCTGAACGCGAATTTCACCAGTGACATTTTCTTTACCTCTTGGAGACAATCTAATAAATAGGAATGATTTAAAAAATAATTTAATTATTTGTAATTATTTAAAATAACACGTTGAGAGTAGAATAAAAAAAAAAAAAAAAATTACTTACTTGTACCAACCGTCAACGATTTGATTTGGATGTCTTGGAGGTTGAATTTTTAACATTCCAAGAAAGATTTCTTGTTGAGTCTGGCCAGGAATACGTTCATAAATTGAGACACTAACTTCACCATCCAGACGTCCAACGTCACTATAATATAACAAATAAATAAATATTAGTATGAATAAATTATTATCTAATAATAATAATTAATTATAAAAAAGAAGACTTACAAGATAGCTTTCTGTTTCCAAACAGGATTAGTGGCAGCTCTTACAAGATCCAAGAAATTAACTGACTTTCCATTTCGTGACATGGAAATTTCATTTTGTTTGATTGCTTCTTTTGTAACAACTTCGTGTCGTTCAAATTCCACGACACAATATGGTCTCGATTGGTAGTTAGCAACATCAAGCTTTCGTCCTTCAACGATGGTCACGGAAAGTCTACCAGTCAAAGCCTTGTTGACATTATCAAAAGCAGAAGTGCTTTGATCGGAACTCGGAGATCCGGACCTTGGAGTTTCTTGACCAAGTTCCAAAGTGTCCTGGTAAGAGTCTTGAGAATTTTGTTTCTGCATAGCCATTGCAGGATTGAATTCAGGAGAAGAAGGAGGGGTCATGAGACTTTTGTTAATTTTGCTCCATTCAACAAATTTCATCTTAATATAATCAGTCATTATTATTTCTAGGCTGTCGTTTCAATTGTCGTTCGTTAAATAAAAAAAAATATGACGTAAAAAGTAACGAAATCAACGCATACGATCGGGAATATATATATATATATAATTTTTTAATTTATGAAAAAAGAAATTTTTTTATGTGGAGGTCTTTTTAAAAGGAATCCTTGATGGAATGAGATTTCAAGATTTTGTGGGGGAGTGCGTCTATTTAAACTTTTCTAAAAAAAAGAACGATTCTCCGTTAATCTCAGATTTAAAGAATGCTTAATATAAATAATGTAATGTGTATATTGTATTTATCGCGAATATATTGTTATATTGTTGTGTATATATTATAAAACAAAATTATAATAATTAATTACATTAATCGAGGTTTTGTTTATATATATATAAAAATGAATTGTTTGATTAGTTAGGTAAAAAAAAAATTTAAAGATATTTTTATACACAATTCTTTTCTCTGATTAAATTTTGAGAAGAACAATTATAATTTAAATTATTAGTAGAGGTTTTATAAATAAATAAAAAAAATTCTTGCACTACTTCCCCACCCTTCTTGCATTATAATAATAATTGCATATTTTAAATTTTTTTTTTTTCAATAATATGATATATGAATATAGGGAAATAAATATTCCTATCCCCACAAAAATAAAGTTACAAGTGTTACTGTTACGCCCTGCAGATACATATTTTATAAAATTTTATATTATTTTTATTTATGTAATTCATACATTACATTAACATATATATATATATATATATATATTTAATAAATATTTTTTTTATTTTTCTATAGTTAATTATGAACTAAATCAAATATAAACTGGTGCATTTTTTTTAGTTATTGACGCCACTCGTTTGTGTGACTTAAAGATTTTTTGATCTTTAAAGACTTCTAATTTGAATATTATTTGTTTTCTCAAAGTCATTAGAAAGAAAGAATCAAATACTTTCGTTTACCAGGAAAAAAAAAGTCAGTATTATAATATATGATTAAATGCTATTATAATTGTTATATGTTAGAATATATTTGGTTGTAAAGTAAACAGAACTGCACCAAGAAAAAAAGGAAATTTTGGTAACTTACATATTTTTTTTTTCATTGTATTATATTTAAATTATTTAACATAAATTATTTTGGTCTAACCTTAAGAGGGATGGCTGTTAAATATTATGCAAATTAAATTATATTCCTTGTTCTTTGAGTGGTTCCGAAATCTATTGTTGCTTAATCAATGGTGTAAGTACTTAAAATTTGTTATCTTATTATAACACGTGACGTAATTCATTATTCGATTAAATATAAATGATTAACGATTTCTGCATATTGGCTAATTCGACTATCATGCACAGATATTGTTTTTTTTTCTTTTTTTTTTTTTTCGTTTTATACATTTTTAAAAGAAACAATAAAAATTTTTTTTTAAGAAAAGTGTAGATTCAGATTTTAAATCGTGACTAAAAATTTATAATATAACCATAAATATACAATATATATAATAATATATAATAATATCTAACATATAAATATTAAACTAATAAAGTACTGTGATTATCAATTAACTATTCTAAGATTATGTGTGTAATAAAAATTAAGCCTGCGTTTTTTTTTAGAAATATTTTATAAAAGACAATTTGAATAGGATTTAAAAAGTTTAATTAGTTTAATTCATATTTTTTATACCTAAAAGTTCAAATAAAAAAGGATTAAACTAAAAAAATTTTTTTTTTTTTAAAAAAAAATCAGTGAAAACAATCTGATAAAAATAATCTGATTTAAAATTGCATGTTACCCCTCAATAAATGTTTATCGTAATCTTTCCGATGAAGTTACGTTATCTTTATGTGTTCGAACGGAAATTTTATTCTTGATTTAGTGATGATTATTTATTAATATATTAGTACAAAAAAACGCTTGGACAATTTATTAGCAATAAAGGTATATCGGAGTACAAAGATTAATGCCGATAAAATACGATTACGACGGTAAACATTGAATGCTAAAAGATTCATAAATAGTAGTAGCATATAAGGTAATTCAAATAATGCGCATCGTTTAAAATAATAACATGGGAAACGCGTTTCGGAAACAAAATAAAAAATATTATCAACAAATTGTACTAATTTTGAAATAAATTGTTATCATGGATTACTATATTAAATAAATATATAACAATAATTCATGAAATAATAATATTATGAAATAATACTATTCTATTATGAAATAATAATTCATGAAATAAATAAATCATAAATGAATTGAAGTAATTTTATTTTTCTTGTTTGTTTTGTACATTAAATAAATAAAAGAATAATGCCCGCAGTTATTGTTCTATAACAATATATAAAAATAGATTGTTCATTCCATTCGATAGGTTCGATTGTCTTGAAATCATTAGATGCATTTATAAGGAAGAATTTGGAATAGAGAATTAGAGTATTGATGTCTCCCCACAAATCAAATGCAGATTTATTATGTGTGGAGAAGGACTAATCATGGAACTTTTCGTGAAAATCGATTTTATTGAACTGGCGCAGTTAAATTAATTCTTGGAATTTAACATAATTATTTCTTCCGCACTTTGAATGCAACTTTGAACATGCACATATCTTAGATCGAAACTGCGTGTTCAGCATATCGTTTTTTCATGGACCGAAATCAATAGAATTATATTTTGGCACGCTAATAATCACGAAAATACGCGACTGATTACAGATTTGATATTGTTTAAGTAAGATTATCTAATTTTTTTTTTTTGAAAATAATAATTCTTGCATTTTTATTTTTATTTTTTTATTGATCTATTGTTCACCGTTTATAGAAGTACCTTTTATTCTCTTGTTAATTTTTTGGTAAACCAGTTTTTGTTAAAAAAAAAAATCATCAATATATTATTGTTATTAACATATTGTAAATATTTATCACACACGATATAATCTTTAATTAGTCAACACTTCCATCCAATAAATAAATTACTTAATTATTTTTATTAATTTGATTAATTTGATTAATTTATTTACTTTTTAAAAGATAATCAAAAATCAAAAATCAAAAATAAAATGGATAAAAATGGTCTCATTTCTTTGCTATGCTATCATTATTTGTTATCAACATCAGCATACATATTATGCATATTAGTTATTTTCCCTAAACTGTAAAGGTGTCGTATATATATAAATATAATTGAATACGCCTACCTATAGATTTATATGCATATTCGCTTTTTGGTCAATGCAAAGATCACTTTAATGATTAACCAAAAATATATTCTCAATTTTTGTCAACTTTCATTAACTGCGCAAAATTCCAAATTTTGACATTATTTTTATAAGATTTGATCCTGAAGCCCGGTAAATGTATCATTAATACCCCATCATGTTTATTCTAGTACGACAAATACAACAAAACAAAATTCAAAAAAAGTCTTTATTTTATAGTGACAGTGCTGTTAAAATATTATTTAGTGGTATTTTTTTTCCCGTACAAAAACTAAATCTGTTATCATTGTTCATCCTAACCTTATTGTATTAAAACAATCCGAGATTATGGAACATGTGTATCAAGTTCTGTGCACACAAAAAAAAAACAACAGGTGACCCCTTCTCCTCATCTTTACGTAAAAAAAAAAATTGTAATTTTATAAAACGTATAATTATTTTTATTATTTGTAATTAATGAAATAATTATCTATTATTGTCATATTTATTATTATAATCATTGTTTAGATATTTGATTAAAGACAACAAAAAAAGACAAAGGAATATCATTGAAATTACTTCAATTGATTAAGAGGGAAACTTGTGCAATCGTAAAAAAAAGCTTTGTTTAAAAAATTATTTTAATTTGAAACTTTTTTTTTTTTTTTGAGCTGCCGTTTACACATAATGTTGTACATCTCTTACAACGGAGATTCCTAAAATCAGCTACATTTAAAGAAAAAAAAAAGCAATGCAAATAGACCATCTGACAATTTTTTCTGTGAATTTCTAAAGATGGAATACAGCAATTTTTACTATAGCACGACTGTTTAAGGGTAACTTATCTATAAGTTAATGATCAATGTGAATTAAAATAATAATAAAGAAGTTATTATTTTTTTTTCCCTTTTCTCTACATAAATATAAACTCTTAACGCATGATCAATAAATAAGTCACTAGTTCAAAACTTTTTCTTTTGTGAAAACAATGTTCTTTATCGCCTATTTTCCATCTTCAGCCACATCCAAACTTCTTTTCTAATTTTTATTATTTATTTATTTTTTTAAAATTTTTTTTTTTTAAAAAATTTTTTTTTTATTCATGCAATTGATCTTACGTTTAGAAGAAGAAAGACGTAAAAATTTGATGTAAATGCATGTAAGGCATAGGTACGACGTATTACCAACTATTAGAATAATGATTGTTTAGATTTAATTGATAAAATTTTGGCTGCACCTTATTTTAATTTACTATATATATAATGTGATATCTTCAAAAGAGGTAAAAATAGACATAAATCGCTCAGACTTTTACTTATAACGTACAATTTTCGTGGGAGTAAAAACTAAAATAGATATACGTTGTTGTAATGTTTTTTTTGAGTGGCTGATAAAGAATCAGGCAATGTAAATAAAAGTCAAGTAGGGTGACTTTTTGTAAATAAATAAATAAAATGTATTTTGTTAAGCATATTGTAATACAAGTTGTTGTTGGTTGGTTGGTAGTAGGAGCAGAGCATTGTTTAGCATTGGCAAGTTTTTTATTAATAGTTTTTTTTTATTATTAAGTTTTTTTTTTTTTTTTATTGACAATTTCGTCGTGGTGAAATTGTGTACATAATATCACATAAACATTGTAAATCTATTAATCAATTATGCAATTATTAATAAATATTTAGAACTTAACAATTCGTTTAAATATTTTATTTTTAACGAGCAAAACTTTGTTTACACACAAATAACTCGCCGAATCGTAAACAATGAATTAAACGGGCATAGCCTATAGAAGTTTACCATTCTGGATCATTAAAAATATTTTATATTTATTATTTTTGTTTAGTTGTGATATAATAGTTGACTTTATTATTATTCTCTCGAAGTATTTCTATAATATGCAGATTTGATAAACTCTATTTTGCGGCTACTCACAATAAACTCAATAAACTCCTTTTAAGCTTAGATGCTTAAGTAATGATACAATTTAAACTCGTTTTAAGTTTAATAACTTTGAAATGGATGTTTCGACGAAAAAAACGTGTCTTGGCTGTGCAATATTGATATGTTGTTTGTCGTCTTCTTCGGTGTGGTTTTAATTATTTTTACGCCCTTTCCAATCATCTCAAAGTAAATAACGTAAATAACGTAAATAACGTAAACAACGTAAATAATGTAAACAACGATGTGAATGACGTAAATAACTTAAACTCAATTTCAAGTATAAGAAACGTGATGAAAAAAGTTGCTATTGTGATATCGTGAGAATAATAATAATAATAATAATGGTCTTTTTTTATGTGATCTAAACTTACATATATTTTCATCACGAGAAACTTCTAATTTCCTTCTTAGAAAGTTCTCACTACAAAATTCTAAATCTTATCCTGACCACGTGTGAGATTATTTACATTTTCTTTAAACCTTAACCCAGATTTTATTTAAATTAAAAACCAGATTTTCAGGGGATCAAATACATTTTACCTATTTTTACCACCAGATAATTAAAATTTCTCCTTTAAGTAATTCAAACAACTTCAGTATAAAGGTAAGTGTAAAGAGCAAATAACAGAAATGGACTCTTTGATGAATATTGAGATTTTTTATTTCTCATTTTGATTTAAGTTTTAATTACAATATTAATAATATTAATTTTGATTACAAAAAAAAATAAGATCTAAAAAAGTAAATCTATCAAAAAAATTCTTTGATTTCATTTTTTTGATATTTTGATTCAATTTACCATGTTTCAAATAATATGAATCATACTATTTGAAGTTAGTTAAAGAAAAGGAATAAAAAATTGGTTTTGAATCTCTGAAATTGATCTACCTAACGAATACCTTTTAAATTCATTTATTTACAAAATGATTTCATCCAATAATAATAAAACACTATAAATAAAAACATTTACCATTATAGTGTATTTTAACGATATGTTAATAGAACGTTTAATGAACTTTATGCTTTATGTATTAACAACGCCCATCTTTGTTTATAGGTACAAAAAAATAAGGCTTGTTAGCATTAAAAAAACTCCTTTATTATATTCCAATAGGAAAGATTTTTAGTTTAGTTTTATGTATTTACAGTTTATCTTTAATTTTAAAATTTGATCAAAAAAAAAAAAACAAATTATTTCTTAATTTGTTCTAATGTTCTAGTTCTATTCTTCTTAAAGACAATAATAATAATAATAAAATTTTTAAGAATGAAAGTAACGCGAACTTTAAGAATCTAATCAATACAATTATGTCATCCATTTTACAATTTAAGATTTTTTATGGTAAAAAACCACTTGTAAACCACCTGTTTCTTTGGTGTCACATTTATCAAAGTAAATATTTGTTTATCCATTTATCCATAAAATAATAAATAATAAATAATAAATAAAATAATAATAAAATAATAATTATGTCTAAAATATCATATCATAGAAGCCCCAATTTATTTTCTTCAATGGTGATTACTTAATCTTTTTTCCTGCTTGTAAATAATTATTATCTGTTATTATTATCATCATTATTATTTTTTATTATTATTATTATTATTATTATTATTATTATTATTATGCCAAAGGTTAATCACGTTCCTTAAACATCTCCCATTCATCTCCTCCCATTTTATTTGAGTTTGCCACGAATATTTTGACCACGTTTTTTTTTATTATTATTATTACATGAAGGGTTCAAATTTCTATGACGGCGTAAATTATCCTATTCGTAATTTTCAAATTAGGGTTATTTACCAACGTAAAACAAATAATAATAATAAAAAACAACAAATAATAATAAAAACAACAAATAACAAAAAATAATAACAATAAATAACGATAATAATAATAAATAACAATAAATAATGAGAATAACAATAAATAACAATATGGCATTTCATTTTGAAGAAAAAACCATTCGGCATTCGCCAGGGTCACGAGACTGCTTCGAATTTCTGAACGCCAGGGTTAGCCATTACCCCAATGTTTAGTAAAATAAGTAAATAAAGAATACAGATAACACGATTTTCTAAACAATGGGGTTTTTCGCATTGCAGTTTAAACTCTTGTGATCAAATAACATTCTTATTTTATTATTCTCATTATTCAACAAAAAAAAAATTTTTTTTAAATTTTTTTTTCATGATACGTGAAATAATCCACGTGTTTTTTTTTGATTTTGTGTATATATAAAATTGTCGTTGACCAGAATTAAGATATCAGTGGTTGGCCAGAATTATGATATCAATAGTTTGCCAGAATTAAGTCATCAAAAATTACGTATAACAAAGATTTATTAAATTTTATTGAATTTTTTTTTCTTCTTTAACTATTTCAACCATTTATGACCTTATCACATCATTATTCAAGTCTTTACATGAAAAAAAAAATTTTTTTATTAAACCGATCACAATAATATATACATAAAAAAGAAAAAAGAAAAAGAAAAAAGAATAAAAGATTAAATACTGTTAAAGTTCTTCTTCTATAGTGGATTTGCTGTAATTATGTACTAATAATCTCTATGTGGAAACACAAAGCAAAATCCTCTTCCTTTTTTTTTTTTTTTTTACGATGGATTTACATATAATTCAAAAAGCTTTAGCTTTTCAATTTTGAAAATTCATTATAAAAAAAAATATGGAAAACTTTAACAGTATTTCCCTTTGTAATTACCTTTTCTTTCTTTCTTTTTTTTTTTTGTGATTGAATCTCACAAAAATGACTCGCCTAATGACATAATAATAGTTATAATAGTTATAATAGATAATAATATTTATAATTAGTTCATTGACCAAAAAAATTTTCGATATTGAAATCTCATCATACGAGAAATAATAAAAAAAAAAGATCATTGATGAACCGAACATTAAAAGTCAACACGAAATTTTTGATTCAGTTTGTAAATATAATTTAATCATTTCTTCTGCTTAAATTTTGTTTAATTTTTGGGAATTTTTTTTTTTTTTTTTTAAAAAAAAAAATGACACCAACCTTTCTTCCTTAAACAATTATCATCATAGATTGATTATATATAGCCAGAATTACAGAATTACCGGAATTACTGGAATTAGGGTAAATAAATTCTATGCAAAAATAGAATTAACTTTAATAATTTAATTTCGAGCTAAAATCATCACATAATATTGGAAAAAATATATAATAAATATTAAGATAAATTAAGATAATCAGCATTAATATTAAAGATGACATTCTACATATAGATTTAATTAATCCATTTCGTCCGCCCGTCATCATAAATTTCATCATTTTAAATATATAAATATACATATATAAAATAATCTATTTAATAAATTTTTTTTTCCTTTAAATAAATAAATAAATACCTTATTATTATTCTTATTATTATTCTTAATTATTAATTATTTCATCGATTGGCTGTGGATAATCAAAACTACAATTTTAAGAGAGAATTTATCTTTAGAACATTTAATTATTGGTTTCAATTAAAAAAATATAAATATTCTTATATACAGTCAGATAAGGCTGAAACTATTTTTTATTCAACATTTAATATTTTTTCAGTGTGTAGGATAAGTATTTTTTTTAAATCATCATAAAGAAATCCGTTTTTCATTCGTTCTCATTAAAATTCCCAGCGATAAAAAATTACCTGAGTAAATACATAATTCAAGAATTGGATTAATTAATCTATGGTAATGGATCCAACCATTTTTTTTAAAAAAAAAAAAATAATAAAAAGAATCTAAATCTAATAATCTTATGATAAATTTACAATCTACTACGGATTAATACAGATTAAGCACCCGTTGATCTATTTTCCGTGACACGACGCGAATTTTTGCATGTGTAACATATAACGCCTTAATACAACATGAAGTAACTCAATAACTAAAACTACTAAAACTGATAACACATTTTTTTAATAAAAGTCATGTTTTGTTTTGATAACAAACGTTACGTTTCTTCTTCTTCTTCTTCAAACTTTTCATTTTATAATATTTTATAACGTAATTTATTGATAAGTAAGTTATTAAGTAATTTATTAAGATGACTACTTCCATACGACAGTTGGATCCCGATTCTTGTGAGACTAATCATACAACTTTGGAAGTTTTGATTAGTCTATTTATTGTTTGTGGTTTAATTATAAGTTATTTACCTCAGGTTTGTATAATTTCATTTTATTAAACTTTTTCAAATTATTTAAATTATTATTATTATAAATTGGTATTTCATCCCATATAGTATTATTCTCTTTTTTTTTTATTGTAGCATTACAGAATCATTAGTCGAAAAAGTAGTGATGGGTTAAGTCCCTGGTTTCTATTATTAGGATGCGTTTCAGCAACTTGTTGTCTGTTTAATATTTTAATTTTACAACTTCGCATGGTAGATTGTTGTAAAATAGTTGTAAGTAATCTTATATTTTTTCATCTTTACGTTCAATAATGATGAAATTTTTTTATTTTTTTTTTTGTAAAATGAATGAATAAATGAATGAATAAATGATAAATTATTTGTTATTATTTTAGACCCCATTCACATGTATCGCAAATACACTTGGAATAATTCAACTTTCGTTACAATGGGTTATGTTTACTTTAATTTTGGCTCTTTTTATGATATATTTCCCACCACAACGTAAAATTGTACCATATATTCGACATTTACATTTTAATTCTCCGCCTTCTCATTGGTCAATTGAATGGCGTACTTCAGTCGGAGTTGCTATTACTGTGGCAGTACATTTTATTGTTACGGTTTTCATTTCACTCTACTTTTTGGAATTTTATGGTCGTTCAGAAGATAATCGTGCTACAAAATATTGGGCTGATTCTCTGGGTCTTATCTCTATGATATTTGCATCAATTCAATACTTACCTCAAATATGGAAAACGTGGAAAAGAAAAGTATGAATTATGAAAGTTATATAAAATTTTTTAAACGAATGAATTACTAAATTACTAAATTATTAAATTAAATTATTTTATACAGGCCGTAGGTGCACTTAGTATTCCTATGATGCTTATGCAAACACCTGGATCTTTTCTTTTTGTCTATTCTCTTGCCATTCGTCCTGGAACAAGGTGGACAACCTGGATTGTTTTCCTTGTTACTGGATGTCTTCAAGGAATTCTTCTCATAATGTGCATTTGCTGGCACTTTAGAAATCAACGTCTTGGGCATGGACCATTTAGTGTTGATGAAACAAGTTCTCTTCTTGGTCGTGATGGTAGACCACTAGTACCAGAAGGACGTACTACTAATAGTACTGAAGTTTGATTTTTGATTTTATTTTATCCTTTGTTTCTAGAATTGGTTTATTTGTAGAATTGGTTTATTTGTAGAATTGGTTTATTTCTAGAATTTCTTTATTTCTAGAATTTCTTTATTTCTAGAATTTCTTTATTTCTAGAATTTCTAGAAAGTGAAAATCATGAAGTTTAGCTTTAAATAATTTATCTGATTTATTTTAGTGGAAGAAATTTTTTTTTTTTTTTTATAAATTTCATTATTTATGTAAGTTAATTGGACATACATGTATGATATATTTTTCATTATAAATATTTCAAAACAATTCTCTATATAAATTTAATTAAAGGATCATTTATTTATGAATAATATTAAAAATGAATAATTTTACCAAACACAATAATATTATAATATTACCAATATAAATATATTTATATATATTAAAAAAAAAAGATTGTATACAAAATCATTAATTAAATTGAAAATTAGGAAAATTTCAAAAAATAGTGAACCTTTATTCTAAAAGAAATTAATCAAATCTATTCATTGGTATTATCTGGAAATAATTTTTTTCTCGGTTTTTTTTCGGTTCTATTTTTCTTCTATTTTTTCTTCTGTTTTATCTTCCGTTTTATCTTCTCTTTTTTCTTCTGTTTTATCTTCTGTTTTATCTTCCGTTTTATCTTCTATTTTTTCTTCTGTTTTATCTTCCGTTTTATCTTCTCTTTTTTCTTCTGTTCTTTCTTCTTCAGTGTGACTATCACCATCGTTTGAGTGTATTTCATTTCCACTTTGGTCCACTTTTACTGTTACAAGTAATTCTACCGTTTTTGTTTTTTCAGTTGTTTCTTCTATTGTTTTTGTTGTTTCAGGTGTTTCTTCTATTGTTTCTGTTGTTTCAGGTGTTTCTGTTGTTTCAGGTGTTTCTGTATATATTACTGTTTTATTTACTGTTACAACTACTTCTACTGTTTCTACATATGTTTCTTTTTTATCTTGTTCGTCACTATCATTGTTTTGTATAATACGTTGACCTTCATCACCTTCTATTTTTGCTTCTGGTTCCTGAACTCCTTCTAAAGTTGCTGTATTATCTATTTCCGCCGCCGATGACGTATTCAAATATTGTTCATAACTATCATGAAATTGCTCACAATCGAAATCCCAAGTATCCACCCATTTCATACTTCTGCAAGAAGATTTTGTCCATTTACTACCATATGTTAGAGGTGAAAACATATAAAAAATTGTGATTGAAATACTTATAATTATTAAAGCGCAAATCATTTTTTTCCTATTTGAAAGTCTAAATGTAAATAAATCAAATCCAACACCCACTAAAAGTATTGCAAAATATAATGCAGGGAAATAATGATGTAAGAATAATTGACGAGCCATTAAATAAAATGGGAAATAATGTAAACACCATCCCATGAAAAACAAAGCAGCCCAAGACTCGAAATGTTGTTTATTAATGTTTAAATTATCCTTGTATCCTCTCTTAGCTCTTAAAATTATGATCATTTCTAAAGCCAAAAAACAGATAATTGCTATAGAAGATGACCACCATATTAAAGGATTTCCTAGTAAATAAATTGTGCGATGATCTTTTCCCCAGAAACTAATTCCACGTCTTAATGAAAACCAAGAAGGAGGACGAGAATCATAAGGATGATCGTCAGTTAATCCTTTATTTGTATTCCACATCACTTTATTAAGCTCCCAGACTTTACTAAGGAATCCAGGTATTTTATAAGTTACCTTCTCGGTATCATTGGGAACTGAAAATAATTATTATATAAAGTATTATAAAATTATTTATTAGTTTAACAATTTTGAATAAATTAGACCAATTTTTTTTATATTCAATTATATTAAATTATATTCACTTACGAGTTGGGTGAGAATTGGTTTCAATAAACCATAATGTTTTCTCATAATTTCCACCTCTCACACATGTAACTTCTTGTTGTTCATAACCCCAGTCAGGTAATTTTACATTATGTGAAAAAAGATAACATCCAGTAATTGTATGTTGAAGTCTGAATTTTGTATGAAGAGTTCGAAGCCTTTCACCAGATTGTGGATCTGATTTATCATGATTAGCAATTTCCACTTTCCAATAATCATTAGCATCACCTTCAAATCCTTCATATCCGTAACCACTAGGAAAATAGAAATAAAAAAAATTTTAATTTAAACAAAAATACGAAAAATAAGAAAAATACTTGAGAAAAATAATAATAATAATAGATTTCCTTATATGTATTAACTCACCTTACTTCATTTTGATAATCTGCTTCAGTCACTGGGGCCCTTACATCGTGACTATGCAATCGTTTATGCGTTTTAGGATGATATAAACGAATAACTGCACCATTATAAATCCACGAAGGTTCTGAAACATTAAATGGAACTTCGGGATCAGTTTTATTTTGAATGAGCCAAATATTATTTTCATCTTGATGTGGATACAATGTAATTTGTTGCTCTAATACAAAAAAAAAAAAATCAACATAATTAGCAAATTAGTAAATACAAAATTATTTAAATTATTAAATAATTGTGCGTTATCGTATATTTACGTTTGCTTCCTCCTGGATAAACATGTTTATGAGAATGTAAATATCCGCCTAAAGTGTTAGCATGTTTAATACTAACTGAAGACCCAAAAGCTATATCTAATGTGATAATACAATAGAATGAAAAAATTTTTTTTTAATATTTTCAATCAAATTTTAGAATAGAATACAAAAATAAAAATAAAATAAAATAAAATAAAATAAAATAAATTAAAATAAATTACCTATAGGGGAAGCTTCTTGTGAACTACGACCTCCTAAAGTCATTCTAAATTCTGAACTCATAAAACCATCACCATCACCACTATTTTGCAGAATTGCAAAATGAATTACAAAGAAGAACAAATATAATACGAAAGGAATCACTAACAAACACAAAAAACGCGCGAAAAAATGTTTCATCCATTCAACCTACAAAAATTAATCAGCATTAAATATAAAACGGTATATGTATAGTACATTCGAAATAAAAAATTTTTTTCAATATTAAATATTTTCATTATCAAATATATTTACCGGAGATATTTTTAAATCACCAAGTATATCCCATAATCCTTTAATTGTAGATAAACCAATAAAGGCCATTGTAAAAAGACCAACCCATTTCATGCTATAAAATTGAAATTAATATTTAACATTAAATTATATATACATTCTTATATTATATGAACATTAATAAAAATAAACAAACAAACAAATGAATGAATAAATAATTAATTAATTAAATAATAAATAAACAAATTAATAAATAAATAAATATAATTGATTGAATTATCAATTTTTTTTAAAAAAAAATACCTTACAGTAAGCCCAATCCCAACACCAGTCATTGCCATCCAAAACCACCACCACAATTGAAATGGTCTATTATATAAATTTAACAAAATTAATATTATCATAAAGGTAAAGAGAAAATGAAATATAATAAAAAATCATACCTTTGTTGTTCATTTTGAAATTTGACCCACATTAAAGTGGTAAAGGAAACAGCTGCGACTAAAGGTGAATCTAATAGAATTAATCTACTTTGAGTTACCAACCCATTTTCTATTAGTTTTGTGTAAAGAATAAATAATTAGAAAAAAATAAAATTTATACTTGTATAATTCACAACTAAAAAAAAAAACTATTCTTTAAATAAAATAAAATTCAAATTACCAAATATTAATAGAGTTGCTACTAGTAAAGCCGAAGCCCTTGAAAAACCCGCCAACTTAATTGTCAGATATGCCATTGGCATAACCATTACTCCCAAGAATGCGGGCATTAAACGCATTGATACATATGGAACTTTTGGTTCAAGATAATCCCTAATTGAGAAGAAAAAAAAAATCAATTAATTTTTTTTTTAAAAAAAATTCACTTGAAAAACACGTTTATTATTTTCAAGTTGAATATTTTTAATTAAACTTACTTGCCAATTTCCTTAAAATCAAAATTTCCTTCAAATCCACCCAATACACCAGCAAGTGTGATTAATAATTTTGCTAATGGTGGATGTACATCCATAAAGAATCTACCCTTAATGTATTTTCTAATTAATTAAATACAAATATATTAAATAAAAATAAAAATAAAATAAAAAATAAAATAAAAATAAAATAAAAATAAAAATAAATATATCTTTGAAATGGATCGACATAAATTCTTGTGAATTCTTACGTAGCAAAGCCACCAAAATGAACTTCATCAAAACTATTAATATAAATTATTATAATAGATCAGTGATCATTGTGACCTTAAAAAATAATTACATTCATATTTTAATATAAAAACTTACACTACTGAACTAGGATGGCGTATATCATATAAACGAACAAGTAAAGAAACTATAAGAAGTCCACAAAGGTAAGCCATATCATCAATAGATACTCCAAGGAGGGGTCTTCTATTCTTCTTATCTTTAAAATTATCTTCATACATATCATATATAGAAGAGGGATATTCTTTATGACTCTTTGTTTTTCGGTATCTCACGTTGTCTGTTGAACCAGACGTCGAAGGTTTATCTATAGGAAGCATTTAGAAAAGTTTTTACTACTACTATTACTATTATTAAATAAAGTTTCTTTCAATATTTATTCACAAATAACAAATTATTGTTATTTTTATTTAAATTTTTAATATCCATTGTTATTATTATTACCTTGCCTATTCGACATGTTATTCGTTCGCAATTTAATTATCCAAAAATTATAAAATTTATATTTATAGGCAAATTTTGAATCATTAAATCGTGGCCAAATTTTATTGGAATTTTTTTGTTATGCACGTGGAAATTATAAAATTTTCAATTCCTTTTTTAACAAATGTAAATAATTGGGGTTACGTAGAGATTCAAAAAACTCTATTTGCGTTTAACCATATCAAGATATATCAATAATGAGTTGTTTGTGAGACGAAACAAATAATAATTTCTGATCGCTTATTTGAGTATTCAAGTCACATGATATTTAACAACCAAAAGATAATTCATAAGTATCAGGTATAACTTAAATTTCATCATTAAGTTGGATCTTTATAAGTAATTTTTTTTCTACTTAACATACTTAAACATCGACTTTCAATTAATAATTAATTAAATAACAACGAGTTTCTAAATCTATTACTTGCATATTAAATCTTTACTATTTGTCAAGGGAACAGATACACTCACTGGTAAAAAGTATAGAGACACCTGACAATTTTTAAAAATAAATCATTTTAGTTATTCTATATAAAAC